CCCATGATCCAATTGTTAATTCTCCCCTCTGGCTGTTACACATTTCTTTGTAAGTTAGTTATAAGGATTTGATGTTAGATCAAGATAACAACTTCTACTTGATAAGTTTGAGTATTCTCATTACCCGCTTGCTGGATAATATATGGTTTTTAAAGTGAGAAGTAACCTTTTAATCATCTCTGGGAGTTAAAGGGTCAAGACAAACCTCTTTCCCAAGGTAGGGGATCTCTTTTTCATTTCATGTCTAAACTAGCACCAGAAGCCAGCTTCCCACAAGTTCAGGTGACGTTGTAGGCCTCAGAAGCTCATTTTTATTTACAGGACATTTTGAAATTTTGTTGCTAAAAAAAAAAAAAGGAAATGAAATGAATGAAGTGATTTAGAGTGAAGACCTTCCTCATTCCATAGAATTAGATTAAAAAATGTTGTTATGAGCCAAAAAAAATTACCCAAACTTTAGTGAGAGGGCACCTGGGAAGTATCAGGGAAACCTAATAAAGTGCAGAGAGGAGTGGTGGGAGAAGAGAAGAGAGAGAAGCTTTTTTTTTATCAAGTAAGAGTACAGTGTACTTGTCTTAATATTCTGAAACACTTCAAGCTGCAGAGTTTGGATAGCTTCACCCATGAGAAATCACATTAGTGTGGGATCAAAAATGACATTTTTTCTTTAGAACTGGCTAGTGGCCAGGAAACAATTCCTGGTAGAATTTTTCTCTTGCACCTGTTGATAATCTTTTGACATGTCAATTTCCCAGAAGGGTCACTGGAGAGTGACATTCAGTTGACTGGTACAAGTAATCCTGTACAGAAAAAAAAGCTTATTATCGTGGAGACTCCTTCAAAATCAAGCTTGTCTCATGGACAGTCTCAAAAACAAATGCCAAAACCAACACAAAAACCTTTGGTTGATGTGGACGTGGAATCTGAAAGTGGTTATGGAGAGTCATCTGGAGGAGGTTCTGAAAATCCTGGGGAGGGGAAATCAGGTGATAAACCATTTGATGTGCCTGTCTCTGAGGTGCGCTGGACTGGTTTAGCTGTGGCTCATGACAGAAGTCATGGTAGAGGTACTGGTAGAGCAAAAGATAAACCAAACCATGGGACAAAAAAATCACATGGCGATCCAATGATGGTGACCTTACTGCAGGCAATGTTCATTGCTGGGGGAATTTTGTTGGTTTCTGTGACGGTTGCTTTCTTCGTATTTGCGTGGTGAGTGTAGAAATGCTATTTGTGGTCTTATTTTGAAAACCCCATCCCTCTTTCAAAATTTGTCTCTTTAATAAAAGGGTTGATATGATTTCGATCCCCCTTCCTCTCCCTGGGAATAAAACCTCTAAAATGAAGATATAAGGAAAAATAAAAATGTGCTGAAACTGGCATGACATTCCACAAAAAAGTGTGATGCATGCTCAGAAATGTTCAAGTTGTAAGTGTTCCTAGCAAATGACACATGACCAGTGTGTGTCAGATAGGGTTGCATTATTTGGTCATTACTGTTTAGTGGAGTTTGCAGTGGATTATCTTTGACGAGATTTTTGAGCAATCACTCATGGACAATACTATTAGAAGCATCTCTGCAAGTTAGTGATGGGATCAACAAATGTCCAGAAGCTTCAAATAGTTTCAGTTTTTCAAACTGGAAGTTTTTCAATCAAAGAAACAGTTGAACATGAATTATTAAGTATTCATTAAAGCTGAGATAATTTAGAGAACTATCATAATAATGATTTGCTATGTGGTTCTCTATAAGACTGTCATGAGCCTGATCTGCTTTGAAAAACTGCACAGAGTTCCAAGTTTAAATTTAAATTTTTAAAAAATGTTCTAATTTGTATTTCTAATTTGTTTTTATTCACAGGCCTGCAAGGAAATACTACTCGTATATGTGCCAACAAATGAACACAGATCAAGAATCTGGGCAGAGTGAAAATGTGGAGCTCACAAGTATCAGAGTTGACAAGGCCCACCCCCCAGAGAATGAGTATGAAATGCCACTACCCCCTCCCCCCATGAAGACATTTACCATGGCATATACACTTAATGCAGTTCCAGGTACTTAAAATCAAATGTATAAGCTCACAGTAGGATCTGTTTAGGAGGAGTGAATGCACTGATTTTTCCACACAAATTTTCTGTCCTGAAACACTGTTTCAGGACCATAGCTAAGGGAGACCTGATAGCTTCAAGCTACCGTTATGTCCAAGAAAAATGTAGAAGCATTTTTTTTTATCATGTTACCACAGTTTATTCTTAAAATCTCATAAATGATTAAGATAGAGTTTCTCCTTAGGGCTGATTTACACAGTACAACTTTGTTGCATGCAACAAGCTTGCAGCAGGCAAGTTGCTCAGAGAAGCCATCTTGAATATTGATTACCATGTCTGTGATGGTATTATTAATATGATGCTTCAACAGATCTGTTTTCTTAAAATTTGGCATTTTTTAGGTGTGTCGAATGATACAAGTTTTGGAGTGTTAATACCTGTTCATTCAACTGCTTCTGGAAAAGAAGGTACTGATAAATAGACAACCATTTAAAGCTTGCCAGCTGATCAGATTAGTAATATGATGCTTCAACAGATTTGTTTTCTTGTAATCTGGCATTTTTTAGGTGTGTCCAATGATGTAAGTTCTGGAGTGGTAATACCTGTTCATTCGACTGCTTCTGGGAAAAAAGGTAATGATAAACAGACAACCATTTAAAGCTTGCCAGCTGATCAGATTATTAATATGATGCTTAAACAGATTTGTTTTCTTGTAATCTGGCATTTTTTAGGTGTGTCCAATGATGCAAGTTTTGGAGTGTTAATACCTGTTAATTCAACTGCTTGTGGGGAAGAAGGTACAACCACTTTAAGCATGCCAGCTGACATAAATACTTTTGTTGAAAGTTGTCCTAGTCTTCCATGCAAATTGATCCTTTGATCCCCAAGAGTGACCAGCATCTAATTTCTCTGCACAATATCACCCCTGAATCACACCCTAAGGTCATGAGAATAAAGGAAATGATCAGCAACAGAAGAAGCTCTTGACTGTTTGATTCTCCCTGTCAGCACCATAAGAAATGTGTCAAGAACTGTAAGGAGAATATGCATACTGATGTTAGAGTTCAAAGGGCTACTGCATCGATTTTTTTTTTTCATTTTTGAAACATGACTATACATCCTGATGTTGTCTTACCCCAAGATTTTTCAATCATCTCTCCAAGTGATGTTATTTTTGTTAAAAAAAATACCTATACATTACCCAGTGAACAGGTAATGAGAATACTCAAACTTATCAGGTAGAAATTGATGTCTTGATCTAAAACCAAATTCCCATAACTAAGTTATAAGGAAATATGTAGCAGCCAGAGGGGAGAATGAACAATCAGCTCCTGGGAGTTAAAGGGTTAAGGTTTTTTAGTTCTTAAAAACAACTTGTAAATTGGCTCAGGGTAATGTACCAGATGTGTTATATAAAATAAAGGTATCTAATCATTCTTAGTGATATTGAGAAATGTTTGCATCATTGGGTATGAACCCACAGTGATGTAGACTATTCCTCTTGAATATGATCCATGTAACTGTAATCTGCATGATATCTAAATATGATATATAAATATGAATATGATCCATGTAACTGTAATCTGCATGATATCTAATCTTTTTTTTTTCCCTCCGGCTAGGTGTGAAGGGGTCAAAGGTTGGAGCGTTAGCATCGGTTACCTCAAAGGCAGCGAAACAAGGTACATGGATGGTGTAAACTCACATTATATGTCATAAAGACAGGTGTCCCTTTAGCATTCCGGTACAATTCCCTTTCAGTTCTTTTCTATCTAGTACTACTCCTGGAAGGAGAAAGGCACTGGGCACTCATACTCCTGGGAGGAGAGAGGCACTGGGAATTAGGCTCAGTAACACAACACAATCGGCCGGAAGTTCTCGAACCAGGCCGTCTCGACTCTAGTCTCGAACCAGGCCCTCTCGACTCTGAGTCAGACGTGCTGTAACTAATCGCAAGGCTACTGCGTCACCCACACCTTTCACGTGGTTTTCTTCCCTTGACTCTACGTTTTCATTGGCTCTCTGTGAGACGACCTTTGTTCTGATTGGTTGTCCTTATGACTTTAGATTGCGTGTTGCCACTTGCAACCGAAATGCGTTCCTTAATGTTTTTGTTTGTTTGTTTGTTTGTTTCTTTTTGTTTTCTTTTGCTCTCAAAGTTGCTGGAAATTTGGTCAGTTTGGTCAATGCACACTTTACTCTGGGGGGTAATGAACAGACCTACTCCGGTGGTACCGCCCATCAACAACACGAGGAAAGGAAACTCACAGGTCCGGAGGCTGACGACAGAAGGAGAGACTCGCGAAATTGGGAAACGAGGAGGCTTATTAAGGAGGAAAGCTCCCATAGGAGAGATTCGCTGGTTGACAGCATCACAATCGCTAAATCGATCATTGCTGACTCTACAAAGAATAGGAAGTTCGAGGAGAGGGCTTCCAGACGACGACATATTATCAAGGAGTGTAGCCAGGGTTCCGAGTCAGAGACGGAGGTAAAGAGAAAACGAGTATCTTTTGCCGAAGAACTGGAGACTGCTTATTCGGTGATTGCACCAGACTCGATTTACAGGCAGAGGTTGGAAAATTCCAAGGAGAAACGTCTTGCAATTAGGGAGCAGACTTCTGGAAAGAGGAGAGCATCACTTGCAGACGACATTGAGATTGCAAAAGCCATTATTTTCGAGAGCCCAAAGAAATATACACTTCCTGTCAGCCTAGTACAGCAGGTACTGTAAATGTTCCAGTTGTGATAGTTTCGCCTTACTTTAAAGAGCAATTTCACGTGTTCTCTTGAACAGTAACAGCTTACTTGAGGTAGTATGTTAACAGATGTCAGATCACTGGGATCCCATACTAAGAGTCGAACGTTATCGCAATTATTGGTGCTTTCACTCGATTTACAGATGATCGCGTTAGGCCTGGAACCCAAGGATTACCTCAGCTGTTCGTTGGACATCGCCAAGCCTGTTCTCCAGAACGATTGTGGTGCAACTGGTAAAGTTTTCAAGTATGGTGTCAAGAATTTCTAAAGGTTAGGATCGCTTTTCCTCTTGTAGCTCTTGGGCCCAGTTCCTCAGAGAGCAGATAACGTCATCCAACGGATAAATCTCGCAATCCAACGGATAAATCTCTGTCCAGCGAATCACCCTTTACGGTGGCTAATTTACGTTTTCAACTCAGTTGTCATCAAAACGTACTTCGCTGTCTACCGGGTAGAGATTTTTGCAGTGGATAACGTTACTCACCCTGCGAACAGCCTCGGCCTGTAGTTTTGCTTAATAGGGAAACGTAAGCTAAACGTAATGTTTAAGCTTCAAAAATCACCAGCGCTGCCACAAATTCGTTCAATAAATCAACATTCTTATTGATAGAAAATTGAGGCCAAAAATGGTCAAAAACTAAAAAGAAAATATTAGGATTAGCACTGCAGAGTTCTAAAACTTCACCTTGTGGCACTAACAACCTCATTTGCTCTTTACAGATGCCGTGGACTGAAAAGATGTTGCTTGTGAGAAGTCCTCAATGTTTACTTGTTTTTCTTCATTCTCTCTTCTTTTTTTCTATTTTTCTCCATTTATCATCATGAACTGGGATCTTTTTATACACCTCTACTTGACAGAGGACAGGAAAACCAAAGGATACTATTTAAAGCTAAAACCAACATCATTTCTCTTTTTTCATATACTTCGATTTAAGCTTAAATTTCGTGCGCCTATACACTTCATTTTCTTTCTTATCCCTTAAAAATACGGCGAAAGGAAATAAAAAAGGGATTCCTTGTTGTTCACTTTAAAAATGTACAGACATTAACAATCATTTACAGACAGTTAAGAGACTGCCTTCTCGTCTTTATGGCATTGTGCTAATGTTATTACCAATACTGCGGCAATATTGTTTTTCTTCGTCTCTCCGTATTACTCCTTGATCAAAGAACTGAAATGTGAACGTAAGATTCACATGATACTCAAGTCTCGCAGTGTGCGCATTCTGTCGTGTGTTCATGAACTTCCTCAAATCCTTTTTAATAAAGAACAGTTTTTACCCAATGGTTGTCATCCTTCATTTGACAACACCATCTGCCTTGAATTACTCTAACGTGCGCGCTGGTATTTTGTTTCGAGCCAGACCTTCCTCATGCAATAGGGGGGAGGCAAAAAGAGGCTGGTGGGGATGCAAATAAATAAAAGTGGATTTCAGCGCAAAGCGCAGAACTCTGGGTAAAAATAAGCGGAAAGTGACGTTAGCGTGCCGATTGGAACTCTGGTGCGAGTATATACATTAAACATGTTAGCGCGCCGCCCAGATCTTGTCCACGGGACTCTAATGCAAGTCAAAAAGAGGAAGCGACAAAAAAAACTGAGGGTAGTGCTCAGCGCAGAACTCTGGCAGAAAGTAAACGAAGCTAAACGAAACAAAGAAACAACGTTTTTTCAGTCGCTGAATCTTAATGAATCTCGCGACAGACTTCACCGAAAAGGAGGGACTGCTCTTAGTCTAGACGTTTGGGGAACATGTTAACTACGATGGCCCACAAGGGGCTCGCTGCAAATAAAAACAAATGCTGCAAATAAAACATGCGAACGTTGCAAATGAAAAGAACACATCGTGCGTGCGCATTATGCCCGAGGGACTGGATAGAGTTTTGCTCGTTTCCAGCGCCTACCACTTTTTCCCTCCCTTTTCCAAACATCCATTCTCTTTGAAAAATTAATCAAAGAGTATTCGCAATGTTTTGTAGCTTTTGTGGCAATGGGGATGCTCAAGATAGTATCTGCGATAATTGTGTAGCAGAAAAAGATGTAAACGAATCATCTGCAAATCAACGAATTGAGGGGTGGTGGTCTTTTTTCAGGCAAAATAAATCAAACTGGTAGATAAACCTTTTCAGAGACATGGTTGATTATGGATTTCTTTTTGTGTGGGAAACACTCTTCATATGGAGTACTTGTGGTTCTGTTTTTCAAAGCTTCTTCAGGATGACTTGGACAAAGTGAAAGATCATTGGAATAGTCACAAGATTTCCAAGTCTCCATACAGTTCTGTTCATGGGGTACCAGATGTTATATACTTTCTACCAGAATATCATTGACATGAAGAATGTTTGGTTCCTATGCCAAGTAGAGGATATGGAAGTACATTGCGAATAATTTGAATATTTTGGAAACTAAAGGTTGGGTTTACCCTAGTACAGCTAGAAAGGCCATAAGACAATACCAACACATAACAGAATTGCAGAAAAAAAAATGACTCAGAACACCTCTTCTACAGTGAAGCAATTCACGTGTGAACTGAATGTAGTATCCAACTGCTTGTCACTGATCAGTCTATTGAATCAAATAACTAAAGATGACATTGTTGTAAAATTGGCATAACTTTTTAATGTTTCATCAACACAATAGTTAGCATACACGTTAATGCCACCATGCAAAGTCTGAAAATTACATTCAATTTGATAATTTTATTACATTATCAACAATCTGTAATACCAAGGTATAACATTTTTACATGTAAAAGCTTTGATCTGCACATACACATGAATAAACATTCCTTGAAATTTGTGGTTATCAATTCAGGGGTTGTGTTTAGCCCCATTTCCCTCTCCCTCCCTAACATTGTTGCCAATAAAGATCACACCTAGATAAACATAAGGTATTTTAGGATCCTTAAAGATTGCTATCAAATTATCCTTAAGTAAAGCCCTATACAGAATAATCTTTTGAACAGGACCCTCTGATAAAGGAACTTCAACACCTACAGCATCTGCACCTGTAGAAATCAATCAGTTTAGAAATAATGGTAATTGAACTGAGTGGAATGTGATTTAGGTTGAAATCATTTGCGTGATTTCAAAATCGAGTTTGATTTGTAATCAAAAGTATGATTTCTGACCAAAATTACATGACACGAGGTTCAATTACCACTTTATTACATCCATTTTGAAATCACCCAAATACAGGACTTGGTCAGTTCAAATATTCTATTGATGCAGGACTGAGCTGGTTTGAAATTAAATTCATCCATTTTTGGGGAAGAAAAAAAAAAGAGTTTTGGAAACAAAAGTTGCAAAATTTACCACATGATACTCTTTATCTTTCATTTTCCTGAAATTTGATTGGTTACACTAAACAAGCCTTGAAATCTGATTAGTTGTTTTGTTTTTAGTGTAGCCTCCTCATTGGCTGGGAAAAATGCGATTTAAAGCAAATAATGGTGTGACAAACTGCACTAATTAGAGCCAATCACATTACAAGGACCACCAGTGATTTCAAAATGGGTGTAATAAATAAATAAATGCTGCACAATACACATTTGAGAACTGATTTTAAAGATGTTGTTCTTGTATCATGTTGGCTACTCTTCTATACAGATGTCTCTGTATTTCTTGACTGAACATGCACAAGCTTTTATTACATTTAACATAACTTTTTAAATTAATAAGAATATTGCATGGGTACACAATTCAGAAAAAACTTACAAATGCCCAATTTCACTGACCAGTGTCTGCTGAGTGAACCCCTTGAGTTAATGAATCTGAGTTTGCAGCTGTCTGGGCTGTGGATATGTTGCTTGTAACTGTCTGGGCTATGAATGTGCTAGTGCTCTATCACTTCGTTCACATCTTTTTCTACCACACAATTATCGCAGATACTCTCTTGAGCATCCCCAATGCAACAAAAGCTACAAAACAAAGCGAATACTCTTTTATTAGTTTTTCAACGAGAATGGATGTTTAAAAAAGGGGGGGGGGGGAGAAATACTCACAGGCTCTGAAGATCAACAAAACTCTACACAGTCCCTCAGGCATAATGTGCATACATGATGGGTTCTTGTTGTTTGCAGCATTCACTTCTTATTTGCAATGTTTACATTTTTTATTTACAGCGTTCACTTTTTTATTTGCAGCATTCAATTTTTTTCTTTGCAGCGTTTTCTTTTTATTCGCAGCGATCGTTTGTTATTCGCAGCGATCACTTTTTTATTTGCAGCAATTTTTTTTATTTTAAGTGTTCACTGTTTTTCTTTAATCATCTTCAAGCTTTCTTTTCTGTCCCTTCAATTCATTGTTTCCATTTTGTAGTCTTTCACTGTCCAGTTCATTGTAATAAATTTTAAAACTCCAGGTTGAATATTTACCAGAAGTCCACTGGGAAAAGAGCTTTCTCAACCCGTTACCACCTTTAGTTTTGGCTTTCGCTAGTGCTTGATTTAGTCTCCAGATCTTTGTTTTGAACTTCTATACAAGTCTAGAATTTACTATCACACTAGGTACATTGCATTTCTGGCACACTTTTCCTATTAGAATCTTTAAAACAGCCTACTCGAGGCAGGCTGTCCCTATCATCCATTTCTTCGACTTCTTGTTCAGCTGATTTGTACATTTCGTAAAGAAGTTTACTGCCCAAGCAAAGTAAAAACAGACAGAGGAAATAAACAGATAAAATTTATGGCAGTGTACATGAAACTGGGCACACATTTCTTGTAAAATTTGACGGTGGACTTACCGGTAACTTACTTGTTTATATGGGCCTGAACCGAGGATTAATACTGTTCGTGGCTATTATTCCTTGTCTCTCACGTTATTTGGCACGGCTTCTATGAAACAAACCAAGGCGAGCGTAATCGCAAGTACAGTAAGGGCCTGAAAGCCTCGCAGAACTGCAAACATCTGAAAACTATCTATGTTAAAACGCCGATTTAAATGTAATTTTTCGCTTAAAAGATTACGAATATGGTGCCAAAATGATCAGTAGATCCCAGACCACCCGTACATTTAGAAGACTGTACGATATTTTCAAAGCCCTATTTACGTGGATTTTTTTTCATTTCTCGGATATGTTTTTATATTTGTAGACAGACTAATAGCTAAATGACTTAAATCTGTACGTACATCTGATAAAAGTAACTGATAACTTTGTGTAATTTTGCATTTTCCTCAAAAATTTCGCTATTTTTATAAATATTTTGGGTTAAAATTCGGGGGCTGGGCACGAGTATAAAAATTTGAAGCAAATGTCACCCAATTTTTTTTCATGGTTTTTTTTTTATTTGTAGCGTTTCTTTTCTTTGTAGCGAGTCCCTTGTGGGCCATCGCATTTTGGAATACGGTTGGGTAAGAACGTACTCGCGATTGCATTTCAACTCGAGCTCACACCTTTTATTTGCATGATCTGCGCTAAGGTCAAACTCATACGGATAGCCGCGCAGACTGGGGTAAGGCGGGGTATTGGTTTCTACGGAACCATTGTGAAATCTCAGGTGGTTCGCAAAGGACACGGTTTGTTTTCTTTGAATAGATGCAAGTCTACGTCGAAAATGTCTCATATCTCATATGTCTCAAAGCTTCTGACGCTAGTGAACACCTTGGAGCCAGACGAGCGGTTAAGATTCAAACGACCTAATAACGGTCACATTACCTTGCGCGAGGTTGATAAAAAGACTGCGCGCGCCAGCGCTGGGCCTTTTAGAAAATTTGTTTGATAAGATTTGCATCAGAAATCTATAGAAGAAGTACGTTGTGTCTGATATTTAAAAAATTACAACAACAAAAAAACAACCCACAAGATTATCCCGTAAGCTCGGGCGTCGCATTCTCCGCAAAACCGCGCAGCAATCAATTACGTCAATCATCAGTAGGAACTGTTTATAACTCGGTAATCAGCCTTTATGACGTCACATTTCCTTCACTTCTCTTTCGGAGAGCCTCGCCGTTTTTTCGCAGCGATGATTTCCTAGAAAAATTGAGATGAAAGTGTTTTGGATCCTGATTTTTGCTTTTGCGGTTGCCGCACTTGGCAAAGGTTAGTTGAATCCCTGCTTCATTTGCATAATTCTCGAAATTCTAAGCGCTTTCTGTTCACTTTGTTGCTCGAGTTAAAAGCATACAGACGGAAACGTGTTGCCAGAACAGAACATTTAATAGGCATACAAGGCGCGCTTTATCGCACTCTTGAAAAATTAGGTTATGTGTTTTGAAAAGAGTTGTGCAGGTTATGGATTCTGAAAATCGGCCTCGTGGCAACTCTTGCAATGCGCGAGTTTGGTTCTG